TGGTGATTTTCGAAATTATTGTAAATGAGAAATCGAAGGGAAGAAGATAAATGAACAATCAATTAGAAATCAGAAGTAAATAGAAACTTAGAGTTTTTCTGTATATCAATAATATCACAGTGATATATCAAGTATGTACATYGTACATATATCAGTAATACAATTAAGCTTTATTTAAGGTTTTAAAGATCAAAATGAGATCAGCAACAATGTCATTTTTAAAAGGTTTAAACATCATTMTTGGGTATCAAYATCAACATCAAATCAACAGCAAAGTCCTTCAACAAAAAACTTAAAGGTTTAAACATCAAAACGAACCAGTAGCATAAACCAAAAGTAGACTAACAATGTCATTCTTAAAATTCTTTAAAAGAAGAAGCATAAGTTCCAATAGTTTAGAAAAGCGTAAGTTTCATTCTTGYATAATCTTTAGGTAAAAGCTTGGGACATCAATCTTCGTTCTTGGTGATTGTCGTGTCTTCAGAAATAGCATCTTTGAAGCTTTCCGTTTTTCCATAGACAACACTTTTGGCGTTCGTTTATGTTGTCTTTTGGGACGCACGACATCAACATTTTTTACGATGTTTTTTTATTTCATTTTTTGTATTTGTACCATTGCTTTTATTTGAAAAAAAAWTTATTTTATATATTAATAGTATATCAAAAAACATATTATAGATAATATGTTCGAAATAATTGGTAGATATCATAGTTATATCAAAAGTAAATCAATTTCATATCATATGTATATCAAACATATATCACATATATATCAAGAGTATATATGTCAATCATGGTTATATCAGAAGTAAATCAATAGTATATTAGAAGTCAATCAGTTCTATATCATCTATAGTAGTAGATATCATAGTTATATAAGAAGTAAATCAATTTCATATCAGATGTATATGAAACATATATCACATATATATCAGAAGTATATCTGTCAATCATAGTTATATCATAAGTAAATAATAGTATATCAGAAGTCAATCAATTCTATATCACCTATATTAGTAGATATCATAGTTATATCAGAAGTAAATCAATTTCATACGATATGTATATCAAACATATATCACATATATATTATGAGTATATCGGTCAATCATTAGTATATCAGAAGTCGATCAGAAGTAATTTATTGTTGCTTCGGGCCTGCAGGGTATACTTGTAATTTAGAACGTGGGCCTCCATTTTTTTTTGCAAAAAAATGCTATATTTAAACAACTCAAACCTTGTTACTATTTTGCTTATTTTACTAACTTTTTTTTGCCATATCTCAAGTTACCCCCAAAAAATTATTAATCTCCCAATTCTCTCTCAAGTGAACATTTAAATGAGGGACACTRAAGTAATTATGTTTTCCGACAATGTTAGAATGACAAGTTGCTTAAAAATAAGGCAAATCTCATTGACAACCTCAAATTTACTTCACTCTAGCATATGATTTAACTRGCTAAGATTAGTCAGCCAAGGATCAAAATAGCTCAATAACTATTTAGAACAATTTCTTAAACTTTAGGGATCAAAAGTRTTAATTTTTTTTAWSTTTAGAGACCAAATAGACACCTACTCAGTGACTAAAARCTTATTTTTCTCTATTTRTTATTTAAAAAAACTAAAAAATYTGTCAAATTAYTATTAGTAGTAAGTAGAAAGATGGGTCTTGACCAATAAATACGGAAGTATTTTCTTATTTTATGGGCATGTCAGACGTTTATTTGGTCAATTATAATCGTCTTCATAAATAAAATATGAACAAAACTTGTCTACTTATTCGTAAGGAAGAATTCTCATTACTTTATTTTAGAGTTTATTGATATAAGAATTCTCTCAGTCCAATTTAACGAATAAGTGGACACCATGTTTCAACCGCGTGAATAAATAGAAAATAATTGAGTAATTAAAAGAAATAACAACAATAAATATAACACAATAATTGGAGAAAAACAACAGCCRGCCCACGAAGGAAAATCTATTATGTAAAAAATTATTACAATCGTATAGATTTCTCTCTAACCCTAATTACATGAAACACTTCCTCAAGGTAATACCGCTAAGTTATCTAAAATTAATATATACCCGACTTAAATTATTTCAATTGAGATGATAAGATCTAAAGGTATGAGCCCCTTTTATAGCACTCAGGAGCATAACTACCTTCTTGTACCTTTCTCACGGTGGACAATTTTTTTCGGAAGACCAATAGTGACAATTTGATATTCTAATATTTGGCCAAAAATCAACCTAATTAAATCTTAATAATAATTTTAAAGCACTTAAAATAATACTTTATAAAAAAAAAAACACTAAAAACAATAATTTACTGTGGCTTTCTTTTTAACCTCTCGGAATCAAGGGCCTCCGTCATTTAAGAAAGCTAAATCTTTGCTTTTAATTGCTGTCAGCGGACCTCAGCTCATGCTTGTGGTCAAACTCTTCCTTTTTCTTATTTTCTCTCAAATTGGCATCTCCTCGATCATTTCTTCATTGCTTCTTTTGTTTCTGCTTCTTCATTTTGAAGGTCTGTGCTATTTACTTGCATTTTTACCGTTTGCTTTTATTACTGTTTCYTCTTTCGCACAACTTATTAAACAGTTAAAGTTTCTTTATTTATTTTTCAATGAGATGAGACAGGATAACASGAGAACCTAACAAAAGTTTAATAAATATCAATAAAATCTAGCCCAATAATTTTATTACATAGACACTACAGAGGTTTAGTAACTTAGTACTGGTATATTATATTTTAAAAAGTTTAAATTTAAAAGTGGCCCTAATGAGTTAGAGCACATCTAAAGAAAAGAAAAGAAAAAAAAAAAAAGCCTTTTGAAAACATATATATCCCAGCGTGTTCTCACTAAATATTGGYAGTAAAAACAAAAAATAGTTTCCAAACAATCCAAATACCTTCAAATTTTAGAAAAAAACAAAAAAATAAAAGTTTTAAAACACGTTCTTTTTATTTTTTGGAATCAATGTCGCGTGGTTTATGTTGAGTGGATCTCTATAATCTGAGCTGTTGTGTGGGCTTAGCAATACTATAGCACAAGACTTGAATYTGAAATCTTAGAAATCACTCAAGCCTCTCACCACTACGCCATCCTCTAAGGGATATTTTAAAACACGTTTGCAAACTAGAGTTGAATAAATRCATCATCTTGGTTAAAAACTACTCTTGGTGCATGTACTAGGAACAATTTAGTTTTTARACTTTATTTAATTTGTTATGATTTAGAATCACTAATAGAMAGAGGTAGAGATTTCGATGTCATCTCAAAAGGTGAGCACGCAATCTAGAGATATTCGAGAAGGTTTGATTATTTCTTTCCATCCAAACGTTCCACATAATCGAGCCCACAACAATACACCAAAGAATATTCTTTCTATGGTTAAAATTTGTAATGATGTAGTCCCTACMATGAAAAGTATTGCTAAAATCTAATGAGGTTTCTTATATATTTCCACCGATTAAATAATAACATACCAAATATATTTATAAACTATAAAGACTAAATCGTACCTAATGAAAATCAAAACACTTAATTTTGGATGTAACTTTTCACAATAAGAACTAAATTGTTACAAATTTAAGTTACCGTGACTAAATTATTACGTRATAAAATTAAAGTAATTGCTACCAATTTGAAAGTAAAAAACTAAATTATTACAAACTAAAAATTAAGTTTAAAGACTATTTCATTAATCACTGAATGAAAGTATAGTGATAAAAAATGTTTTTTAACTCGTCAGTTTTAAGAAAACATGTCCAAAGATATAATAATAACAGTAATAAATAGTCTATTAATATTGTTGCCTATTTGTTGCACCACAACTTTTAATTAACCACCTTATAATGTGAGTAAATTTAATGATGACCATGTAAAAGTAGAGCATATAAACGTCACTTACATGGCATTATTTGATGGAAAAAAGATAGAATAAAGGGCATAGACACAGGCTTTATTAGAGGCCTAGTTATTAGCCAACACTCCCATCCTTGGAGAAAAATGAAAGTAATAGAGAACAATAAGTAAGTTTATGCTATGTTAAAAAGGGTAATTGTAATGTAAAAATGAGAGTGAAAAAAGAAACAGTAGGGGGTCAAAGAAGGGAGAGGGAGAGGGACAGTTGGTCTTACAGTCAAAGCAAGCACTGTCTTCAATGGAGGCTAAAGCTGAGAGTACAATGCCCTCTCTCTCTCTCTCTCTAAACACAGCCCTTCATGTTGATATTATTGTCCACTTCTCCACTACCATCCCTTTGTTTGTAGGTCACCTACGCCTCATAGCTTCACATTTAAGCTCATATATTACACTTCTCTCTCTCACAAAGTTTAGAAAAGAAAAAAAGAATAGGATTTATAGGTTAAATATCAGAACCTGTCCGCCCTCAACCCACGTGAACTGTCACCCGTCAGATGTCCAGTTTTGTGCTAAGTTTTGTTTCCCCCCTTGCTTTCACACGCCCTATGCCATCCTATGATTCCTATCGTCTCTCTCTCTCATGCCCCATTTTAACTGCACTGCGACGTACAGAGAATTGTTAAGGATAATAATAGTCTCCTACCTTTTATTATCTCTGTAATGGTATGATATTATCCACTTTGAATATAACTCTTACGGCTTTATTTTTAGATGTCTTTTATAYGTGGAGATCATTGTCTTTTCTTTATATACTATGGATCAYTCTCTTCTCTGATTAACGTGAGACTTTGTTGGCAGAACTTGCAATCCCAACAAGAAAGAATAATTTTTTCCCCGAAAATGAAAAAGAAAAGTTCCATTTTGTGCAATAAATCCCAGTGGCCTGTGGCAGTCCCTATAGTTTTCTCCTTCTCCCTCCCCAAACATGATAAAAAGAATACCTTTCTCTTTCCCAAAAGTGGTCTCACTCATTATTTAGAACTAGATAATGATAGGTTAACAACCGTTGTGGTTCCACTTTTTCATTACGTTTAAATATTCCACAAATCCCTCTCTCTCTGTATCTCCATAATGAAGCCTTGTAGCACCACTGAAATTAACCCTCTCCCTTTCACTCATAATCAGAATATTGCCTGGGATTATGCAAACCCTAGTTCAATGGGAGAAGATCAGGACTCGTATCTACAATATTGCTTCTTCCCAGATCCTTTTCTGGACGACGATCATGACCTATTCTTGAGCCACTTTTTCCAGCAACAGCAACAACACCACCTCTTGATCCCCGCTGGCAATGCCAATTGGGACCAACAAGAGCGAGAGCGAGAGCAGGAGAAGCTGACACCCGATGATAATTGGAAGAAGCAAAACTCGGGGAAGACGAAGAAATTATGTAGTAGAAAAATTGGGAAGAAGGACAGACACAGTAAGATCTGCACAGCACAGGGCCCTAGAGACCGGAGAATGAGGCTGTCCCTTCAGATTGCTAGGAAGTTCTTCGACCTCCAAGACATGCTAGGTTTTGACAAAGCCAGCAACACCATAGACTGGCTTCTTTCCCACTCCAATTCCGCCATTAAAAAGCTCAAAGATAGCTTAAACCTAAACAACAACAACCACAGCGCCTATAGCTATGGGAGCCAGGTCTCTTGTGGCTCCAGCGAGGCTGTGTCAGAGCTCACAACAAGGGACAATAATGTTGCTTCTGGTAAAGAAAGTGCTTTTATGGCCACTCCCACTCCCAGCTCCAAACTCAAAAAGGGCAGGCAATTACGTACTGTTGCCAGAGAGTCAAGGGATAGGGCAAGAGCTAGGGCAAGGGAAAGAACAAAGGAGAAATTGATTCTCAAAAGTGCTTCCACTTCCACCATTTCTGATCATCCCCAACATTTTCCATCCATACTCCAAACCCTTTGCTCAGGTAATTCTGATCATCATCATCATCCAACTCCTAATTTCTTGCCCTAAATCTCAATCTAAAAAACCCTAATTCAAACGCTCTGTCATACCCAGATCTAGCTTCTTCTCTTCAATTTCTTTCACTTCTTTGATTGATAACCTTCTTCCATCGTCACTCACACACGTTTAGGTTAAAGTGGAAATTTTTTTGTTCTGAGTGCACGTTTTTTTTTTTTTTTTGGGTGGTTGATTAGATTTCTCTATTCTGTTGTTTGGGCTGAAATATTACTTGGGAAATTTTGTACAAAGCTGTTGTATTCTTTGTCTTATGAGGACAAAAAAAGAAGATTTGGTGTTCTTCTTTGTGCGCCAAACTAATTTTGTTCCATTTATTTTCCAGAAAACATATCAATTTAATTTTTTTGTTTCTTATTCCTCCTCCAAAATGCTTGCGCTCATTCCAAATTGAATCATTTTCATTCATAAATGCAAATGAAGTTGCTTGAAGTTTACTATTGAAGGAGACAATTAGTAGAATGTTAATTAACTGATTGTTCTGATTTGTTCTGATTTGTTCTGATTGAGGTTTTTTTTTTCCTTTTTTCCTCACTTTTGTTTGGAGTTCTGATGAGTTTAGACCAAGATTTTCCACTTTTCTTATGTACATCTTACAATAAAGTAGAATAAAAGTTTATACGATAAAAACATAGCCTTGGCCACTATAAACTCTAAAGATTGTTCGATTAGGATAGTTTCTTTTGTGATATATCGGTTCATGGACTTAATTATTAAGTTATGAAATGAAGGAGAAATTAATGTGCTATTGGGTTTGAATTTAGAAACTTCTACATCCGATTAAGTTTTTAAATTGCTATTGCACCTATTATAGGAGGTTTCATATATTTACATTTGATATATTTTTATTGCAATTAACATTGTCAAATAGAGTTTTTATTTATTTAAGGTAAAAGTTTTGCATTCAAGTTCTGCTTAAACATTGGTTTGAAACTATCATACTGGGTACTCAAAATTTCTAACTTTTCTGCAATTACAGCATATCTACCATTTCTCTCTATTAAAGTACTGTTTTCTTTTAAGTCTCCTCCTTTTGTATTTATTTTTCTCACGTATCTATCGTTAAGGATCCCACATTGATAAAAGAAGGAACTTTACATAAGTTTATAATAGACATGGACTACTCATTTCATTGTTAATTAGTTTTAAGATGAAACCTCATAAATATTGATATCAGATCATACTTCTTTTCAAAAAAAAATTATTTTTATCTTTTTCTCTCAATTTCAACCTTTTGCCAAGTAACTCTGTATTCTCTATTAGTGAGTTTTGAACGTAGCCCATGCATATTGTATTTAGTGTTTTTCTGTTGATGACAGTAAAATTAAGGGCTTGCACTATTCTAACTTTCTGGGAAAAGTTTCCATGTAGATGCCGCCTTGCAGATTGTGCCTGGGCTTTAATATCTTCTGCTGCGACTGCAGCAAAATAAAAAAAAAACGGCACAAAAAAGGCAATAACCTAATTATGGTCTTCTAACTTGTTGTTTAGTTTTAGCTCTGTATTTTGCTCAAAATAGGAAATGCACACAGCACACAATCATTGGTAGGGAGGTTGCAGATTTAGATAATAAGAACTTTTTGCTAAATATATGTTTTACTTCCAAATCTTTCGGTATTTTTTCAATTTTGTGTTTTAATATTTTTCAATTTAACYCCTTGCCGTGGTTAAATGTTAAAATTTGTTGATGATAAACTTAGATGGCGTAATATTTTTTTAGTAATTTCCAGCAGAAATTTAAAAGAGAAGAGAAGAAAACTCAAAATTTCTAGCAGTMATTAGAAACTCTCTCTTCCATGACATTTTATTATTCAAGTATTATGCTGCGTAATTAAGTATATCATTAGTTAATTTAATATTTGTAAAATTTTAAAGAACTAAATTCTGAAATGTTAAAATATAAGGTAYTAAATTGAGATTTTTTAAAGGATACAGATTAAATTTTAAAAAATGCCCAAACATTAAGAACTAAAATAAATATTTAGCATAAACTTTAAATAATTGATTATATCTTTTTTTTTTTTGAAAAGAAATTGATTATATCATTTAAATTTAGGTTAAATTAAAATTTTATTTCGTATGATTTGCGCATAGTTTCAATTTGGTCCTTATAGTTTTAAATGTTTCGATTTAGTTCATATAGTTTGAGCAATTTAGTTCCTATATTTTATAATTTTTTTTAAACATAGTCCCAATATTTTAGTTAAAACTCATAAATCGTCCCTAAACTGMCCTTTTACCTCCTTGAAAAACTCTAAACTTTAATATAGCTAACTAACATAACCAGTATTAACATTTCATGAGATTTTGAACCTCAAAATCAATTGGCAATGAGAGGACARTCCATTKTCTATTATATAAACATTTCAATGTGTGGGCATGCTCTAATACCATATTAATATTCATGGATTTCATCTCAAAACAAATTCGYAAAGAGATAAGAAGTAGCTCACTTATATTGTAAACCTTTTTTAGGTCTCTTATCTTATCAATGTGCGATCCTTAACAATTAGTGACGAATATAAAAATATCACCTAATTTTCGTATAAAAGAATGTGTAAATATGATAATAGTAAGAATGAATTATGAAGTTTGGATAAACTTTAGGAACCAAATTCAAACTTTTAAAGCTATCTAACTAAAATTTGAAACTAAATTGAAACTTTTAAAATCATAAGGATCAAAGTGAAACTATGCTGGTTAAATTATAGGGATAAAATTCGTAATCTAACCTTTTAGATTAATTAACAATCTTACATATGCAATCTAATACAAAAAACGATTCATTTTGAAATTAATATGCTTTTTAAAATATATGAGATGAAAAATGAGATTAATTAACATCTTTTCAAAAGAAAGATGAAAAGAAAAGAAAGGGATCATTCATTAKGGAGCCGTTTGGTAACGTTTCCATTTCTTGTTTCTCTTTTCCAGTTTTAAATCTAAGTATTTTACAACTAACTTTGTTTCTTGTTTCTCATTTTTTGGGAAATATAGAAATTTTGAGAACAATCAAAACAAGTTTCTCTTTTCTTGTTCTCATTTCTAATTTGTTCCAAAATATAAATAAAAACATTGTTTTATCATACTTGAGTTCTTGGAGGTTGAAACCATGCTAACACATTTTTTTTTTCATTAGAAATAAAGAAACAGAAACAAAACGATACTAAACCAGCCCTAATTAAATTTACAGAGGAAAACAGTTTCGCCTAAATTTTAGAGTTGAGAACTTGAGATGCATCTTGACAAACTTAGTTTTAAACACAAATAGTATTTAGACTCTGAGTTTGATGCTATTACGAAAATAATTCAATCCTCGAAACATTATTTATCTCTAAATATTAGAGGTTCGAATTCCACACTTTATTATTGTACTAAAAAAAGCACTTCTGAGGAGAGACTTTATCTAAATATATAATATCTATACCAGAACCCCAAAGTTACTTTTTAAAACTGGTATCAGCATTTTTTTTTTTTTTGCCAATTTTTTAAAAACTAAAATTGTTTAGTGTGAAAGCCTRTTTTTTTCGATTTCAATTTGGCTAACATTCAAAACTAGTTATAAACAACTAGAAAGAAATTATTAATAAGCAATATTATTCTTAAAATAGAAAATTAAAACAAAATTGTTGYTTATTATTAATATTCAYGTTCCATCTTAAAATCAATTGGCAATAAGAGGGACAGTGATGTTTATTATAAACCTTTGTTAGTTCTCTTTTCATTTCAATGTGTGTTCCTGCCCATGGTTAAAATATAAATTCAATCATGACTTAACTAGCCTTCAATAAAAATTGTSTTGCCTGTATTAATATTCATGGTTCCACCTCAACACCATTTATCAATATACTTTTGTATGATTCTTTTTCTTTTCAATAGGATCTCTAACATGCCCCTAAAGATCGGGGTTCTTTTGGCTTATCGATCTCGGTCGGATCCCATTTTTTGGTAGAATTCCACTTATATTATATTAATATTTTGGTCAAAAATGGGATTCAACAAAGAATAATGAACCAAAAGAGGCACGATCTTGAGAAATATTCTTGAGAAATATGTTAAGAATCCCACATTGAAAGGAAAAGAAAGCTTACAAATAAGGTTTATAATAGACATATGTTACTCTTCTTTTTACGAGTTGATTTTGAAATGAAATCTTATGAATATTAATATAATATATATGACATCACAGCYCAAGGTAGGCTCAAAATCTTTCGCTATCTTTCCTCGTAATTAGTCAAACTGCTTTGAAAAAATAGATTAGGTAATACACAAAAAAGAAAAACAAATATTTATTTCAAATAGTTGCTATCAATCAAATGAATTCTAAAAATAGATGTCTAGAAAAGCTTTTCTAGGAGTTGGAATACTATGATTTGCGTTGCTAATTTTTTCAGTCAATGATCTTGAACGAGCATGTGGTAGCTTTTTTGGTCAGGTTTGGCTTAGGAGCTAAATTTACATAGCCTAAATCTACAAGGCTCCATCTRAGGTTTAGAATGTGGATTTATGCAAATATTAATTTTCCAATTTCCATCATATTTTAAAAGTAAATTACAAATTTATAAACCATATACAAACTGTATCAACTTAAATTTTTATTACTTGTATTCGTGCACAATAAACACAAGTTATTTAAATATAAGTTTAAAAAATAGCATGTGAATTATTATAGTCTATATGTTTTTAGTACGTATACCTAACAAAAGATATAAGGATCTAGAACGTACCTAACAAAGGTTTATAATATACACAAACTACCTATCTCATTGTCTATTCRGTTTGAGATAGAAACCCGTAAATATTAATATGATYCAACAAACTCAAACGAATATACGATCAAGATCGATGAATCAAAAGACATGGGATTAAGTTAATGAACTAAATTGTAATTGTTGAAATGATTAGCTAAAAGACATGGGATTAAGTAAGGCAGTGAGACGCAAATGGAAGGGCTTTTTGATGATACAGACATGGCTCGGTATCTCTGCCAAAGT